AAACGGCCATTTTCTTAATTTTAAGAAATTTGTAAAAAAAACACAAATTTTTAAATTTTTAAAAAATTTAAAAAAATTTATGACACGTTATTTTAGTAAAATTAAAAAAATTTAAAGTTAAATTAATCTGATTTCAAAAAAATCTTTGTTACTTATAGCATAAAAAAAAAAAAAATATACAACCAATTATTAACGAGCGGTCCTGTTCATTTTATCGATTTATTGATGGATGGTTGATTGACGAGCCGATGACAGCTACTACTGATGACCATAAATGATATATTTTTAAAACTTTTTTTTGAAAATTATTTTTAAAAAAAAATTATTCTATTTGAGTAAATTAACACATATTTTATTTACAATACAAAAAATTGTTTTTTTAGAAGTGAAATAGTAAATGAAAAAAAAAAAATCAAATTTAAAATTTAAAAGTTTACTTTTTTTTAAATTTTTAGCTGAGAACGGAAAAAACTTTCTAAAAAAGAAAGAAAAAATTTTGAAAAGGCCAAAAAATTTAAAGGAAAAAACCCTTAGATTATGATTTTTGTTATAATAATGGCAATTTTGTATATCATACATGGAAATAAGGAATGTATTAATTAAAAAAAAATACAACAAAAAAAATTATTTTTAAAAAAAAAGTAGCTCAACTAAATTTATTAAACTTAGCAATTTTGGATTCGTAAATTTTTTTTTTCTACTTAATTACTACATAATATTGAGGAATTAAATACAAGAATTTTAAAACGATTTTAAACTATTATAAATTATTATAATTAAAATTTTTAAAAAATGAAAAAATTCTTGTAAAAATTAATTATTCATCAGAAAAAAATTTATTTCTTCAAACAATAATGTCCTTAATATTACTTATTTACAAAAAGCAATTAAAAGCTTTTCTAATTAAATAATATCATAGTTTTATTGATTCATTATTTTTCAATTCAGACAAGATTTTCAGTTAAATAAAAATTTGAAAAAAAAAAAGTAGGTTATTTACCATCTCCAAAGATTTCAAACTTTTAACAAAAAAAAAAAAAATAGGAAAAAAAGGTTTTGGGAAAAATTTCATTGAAATTTAAGTGTTAAAGAGGTAACATAAAAAAAAAAAAATATTTTTTACCAAAATTTTCTAAAAAAAAATATTTCAAAAATAATTTCATTCATTTGTGAATAAGTCCTGAAAATTTCATTAAAATCGGACAATTATTTTATTTTTACAAGAATTTCCAAATCAATATGTTTTCAACGGAAAAAAAAAAAAAAAAAGTCAATGTTATTTTAAACGTGTTTGCGATGACGTAAAAAAAAGACGAATTTTTAACCAAAATTTCGAACGTGTTAAAAAATAAAAAAAAAAAAAAAATAATTAAAAAATACTTTTTTCTTTCATCTTAATAATAACATAAACATTTTGACGATAAAACTTTATTTTTTTAAGTTTGTGGCATTTTTCATTTACGCTATGCTGTTTTTCCCGAAAAAAAAGGTTCTAATATAATTTAAAAGTAAAAAAAAAAATTAAATCTTTGTTTTAAATATTTAAATTTTTTAAAAAATGAATGTAAGAATGAAAAAAATGAATAAATGAAATATCATTAAAATTTAATACAAAATTTTGAAAAAAAAAAAAAAAATATTTTGATGACATTTATTTTAAAAAATGTGATTAAAAAGAAAATTAAAAAATTGCTGTTTTTAAAAATGGAAAGAATGTAAAAAAATTCCAAATAAATATCCAATTGTTTAAATGTTAAAATAATAAAAAATAAAAATTTTTGTTTTTTTTAATCAAAAAATTTGATAACTAAAAAATTTTGTAAGATTCCATTTTAAAAAGAAAAAAAACAAATTTTTTTAAGAATTTTAATGAAAACATTAAATAAATAAAAAAATAAATTCCCGATTAATTTATAGGGAAAAAAATTTTTAAAAAGAAAAAAATAATTAAAGTAAAATAATGAATAAATTTATTTAAATAGGTATGTTTTAAAAATATCATATTTAAATCTAAAAAAAAAAATGTAAACTAAAAAAGAAAGAAAGATTTTTATAAAAAGCATAATGAATAGATGTAAAAATGAAAAAATTTTTTTCGATCGGTAAAAAACCAAAGATTTTAAAGAAATTTCTTAAAAGCAAAAAGTACATTGAAAAAATATAATGTTTTAAAAAAATAGAAATTTAAAAGAATCTTTTTAAAGAAGATTTAATATTCATGAATGAATGAAGAAATCATTTATAGATGTTTTTATTAAGATAGAATAAAATAAGAAAAAAAAAACGAAAATAATTCATTTTTAAAGAAAGAAATTATAAATAATATAATATATATATTATATATATATATATATATAAATATATAAGAAAATATTTAAAGAAAAAAAAATGAATGAAATCAGAAAAATTCCATAAATAGATGTTTTAAATTTAAAAATAAATATATATTTATAATATATTAAAATATTAACCTAAAAAGAAAGTAACAATATATAAAGAATACAAATTATAATTGAAATTATTGTTGAATCCAATTAAAGATGAAAAAAGAAAAAAATATTAAAATTTTTTTAAATTCAAATTTAAATAAATTATTGATATTTTTTTAAATTGTTGGACAAAGAATGTTGATTAAAAAATAAATATATATTATATATAAATGAATATTTAAAAATAATATAACATTAAAATAAAAGTTAAATAAATAAAGAAAGAAATAAAAAATAAATATTTAGGAATAAATGAATAAAAAATATATATGAATAAATTGTTTAGGGATTTCATAAAAAAGACAATTAAAATATTATTTTAAGAAAGCAAAATTTAAAGATATAATATATATTTATAAATTTAAATATCTTAAAAAATGAAAAAAATTAAAAGAAAAAAAAATTTGAAATAAATAAATATTTAACAATGAATACTCATATATAAATCAGACTTTATTGTAAGGTAGACAATATTTTAATTGAAAATAAATAAAATTCAAAAAACAAAATAAAAAATATAAATATTAATGAAATACATTAAAAAAAAAATTGGAAAATATATAAATTTGGATGTCACCAGTTAGAATGAAAGAAGATAAAAATAAAAAAAATTATATAAATATATATAAATAGGAAAATTTAAATATATTCAAATATAGAAAGACTTTTAAATTTAGGAAGGGTTATATAAATAAAAAAGAATTTATTTAATGTTTAAATTATATTGAAAAAAAATATTTTTTGCTCCAAAAAATTTGAATAAAAATTTGTTTTAAATTTATAAATTTTTAGGGAGATCAATCAAGTATGAACTCTGGAAAAAAAGAAAATATATAGAATGATAAAAGATGAATGTTAATAAATAATTAAATTAATATTTAGGAAATAAAATTTGGAAAAAAAAATATCAAAAAAAAATTTAAATTAACTGATTAACAAAAATGATTTTAAATTCAATTTTTATATTTAAATTATTTAATGAAAATGAATAAAAAGAAAGTTTGAAAAATATTTTTGAAAAAAAAAAGATTTAAATTTAAAAAAAAACCTGCAAAAATAAAGACGAAACCTAGCAAAATATTTAAAAAAAAAAAGAATTTTTATCTTTTTGAAAAAAACCGCTTTTTTTGAAGTTTAATTAAAATATATATAAATTGAAAATTTTCAATGAAAGAATATAAAAAAAAATCTTAATGGATTAAATTATAAGAGGTAAAAAGATCAGAATAAATAATTTTTAAAGAAATTCAGTTCTAAACAATATAAATGAAATGTTTGCTTTAGATTGAAAGAAAGGAGAAGAAAATACATGAAAGAATTTTAAGAAATTTAAAAAAAAGAATAAAAAAAGAAAAAAAGTCGAAAAGAAAATTTTTAAATGAAAATTAAATAATTGTATCTTTTATTGAAAATTTGAAATTTTTGAGAATTACACAACAGAAAGAAAAACCAAAGAAAAATAATGAAGGAAATAAAAAAAATGTCTTTATAAAAGATGAAAAATAAAAAAAAAAAAAAGATTAAAGAAAGAAAATTAAATTCTTTTTTGAAAAAATTTGTAATTTTTAAAAAAAAGAAAGAAAGAAAATAACAAAAAAATGAAAAAAAGAATGATTTTTTTGAAATAAAAAAAAAAAAAAAAGAAAGAAAAAAAACAGAATCAAAGACAAATAAATATTTAGTAAAATTTGTTTAGGAAATGATTAGAAAGAAAGCGGTGTATATTTCAAAGAAAAAAAATTTTAAAAGATGAAGACATGTCTCAGAAAAATTTTAATCATTAAAGGAGATTTTTTGAAAGAAAAAAACAAAGAATGAAATAAACGAATATAAATCAAAAATGGAAATTATTAAAAGGTATGGAAAGAATATAAAGAAAAAAATAAAAAAAGAAATGAAAGAAAATAAATGTATATATTAATTTAAATATTTAAAAAAGTAAAAAAAAGATGAAAGAAAGAAAGAATAAATTAAAATTAAAATATATAAATAAATTATATGAATTGCAAAATTTATTGAATTTTTTATATAAAAAAAATTTATTGAAAAAAAATTTAAATTGAATTTTTTTGGTATTTGAAAAACAAATTAAAAAATAAAAAATAAGAACCATTTGGTAAAAGAATGAAAGAATTTTTTTTTAAATTTTTTGAATGAAAATGAAATAATAAGATTTAATTGAGAAAAGAGAAAAGAAGAAAATGAAAAAATTTTAAAAAAAAAGAACAAAAAAAAAAAATTAAATTTAAAAAGGAATGGGTAAATATAAGAAAGAAAGAAAGAAAAAAATTGAAAAAGAAAAGAAAAAAAGAAAAAATTTTAAAATTTAAAGAAAAAGAAAAAAAAAAAAAGAATAAGAGAATAAAAAAAGATAAAAAAATAAAAGAATTTTAAAAGAAATTCTTTTTTGAAAAACAGATAAAACAAAAATGAAAATTAACAGTAAAAGATGAAAAAAAAAATTCTAAAAAGAAACGTTTTAAATCGAAAAAGTGAAAAAAAAATAAAGAGTTAAAAGGTTTTCAAAAAAAAAAAGGATAAGAAAGAAAAGAAAGAAAAAGAAAAAAGAAAGAAAGAAAACAAAGAAGAAAACAAGAGAAGATAATTGAAAGAAAGAAAGAAAAAATTAAAAGAAAGAATGAAATTTTTATAAAAAAGAAAGAAAAAAAAAATTTGAAATAGAACAGGGAAATTAAAATTTTTAAAGTTTCGGAAAGAAATTAAAATTGAATAATTTTGGAAAATTTGAATATCTAGAAAAAAGATTAATGAAGGAAAAAGAAAGAAAAAATAGAATGAAAGAAAGAAAGAAAAAAAAAAAAAGAAAGAAAGAAATAATAATTGCAAAAAAGAAATAAATAGTAAAAAACTAAAAAAAGAAAAGAAAAAAAAAAAAAGAAAAGAAAGAAAGAAAAGAAGAAATCTGAGGTTTGAAATAAAAAAAGATGAAAAAAAAAAAGAAAGAAAAAAGAAAAAGAAAGGAAAGTTTGTATTTGTAATAAAAGAAAAATAAAAAAATTGTTTTTGAGAAAATGAAAAAGAAAAAAAACTAAAGAAATAGAAGGAAAAAAAAAATCAAAAAAAAAAAAAGAAAAAATTTATACATGAAAAAAGAAAAAAAAAGGGCCAAAATTGAATATTAAAAAGAAAAGAAAAAAGAAAAAGAAAAAAAAAGAATTGGAATGAAAAAAAAAAAAAGGAAAATATTTTGAAAACAAAGAAAAAAGAAAGAAAGAAAAAAAAAATAAAAAAAAAAAAAGAATTAGGAGAAATAAAATAAAAGAAAAAGAAAATAAAAAAAAGAAAGAAAGAAAAAAAAAGAAAAGAAAAAAAAGAAGAATGAAGAAAGAATAAAAAAAGAAAAAAAAAAAAGAAAATGGAAAGAAAAAAGAAAGAAAAGAAGGAAAAAAGATTTAAGTTAAACTTTCGAAAAAAAGAAAGAAAGAAAAGAGAAATTCAAGAAAGAAAGAAAAAGAAGGAAAAGAAGAAAGAAATCTTAAAAAGAAAGAAAAAGAAAGAAACAAAAAAAAAAGAAAAAGAAAGAAAAAAAATAAAAGAAAAAAAAAAAAAAAAAATGAAAAAAGAAAGAAAATGAAGGAAATTGAAAGAAAAAAAGGAAATCGAATGAAAAGAAAGAAAGAAAGCAAAAGAAAGAAAGGAAAAGAAAAACAAATAAAAGTACAACTGAAAAAAGAAAAAGAAGAAAAAAAGAAAAAAAGAAAAAATGAAAAAAAGAAAAAGAAAAATGAAAGGAAAATAAAGAAAGAAAGAAAAAAGAAAAAAGAAAGAAAGAAAGAAACAAAAAAAAGTAGATTAAATTTTAAAAGAAAGAAAAAAAAGAAAGAAAGGAAAAAAAAGAAAGAAAATGAAGGAAAAGAAAGAGGTTTGAAATGTAGAGAGAAAAAAGAAAGAAAAAAAGAAAGAAAAGAAAAAAAAAGAAAGAAAGGTCTAAAAGAAAAAAAAGCTACGAAGAAAGATAAATAGAGAGTTAAAATTGTTTAGGAAAGAATAAAAAAAAAGAAAGAAAAAAGAAAGAAAGAAGAAAATCTTGAATAATAAAAAAATAAAAAGGTTTGAAATATAGGAGAAAAATATAAAAAGAAAGAAAGAAAGAAAGAAAAAAATGAAAAAAGAAAGAAAAAAAAAAAAGAAATAAAAAAAGTATTAAAAATTTAGGAAATGAAATAAAAAAGAAAGAAAGAAAAGAAGAGAAAAAAAAGAAAGAAAAAAAGACAAGGAAAAAAGAATTAAAAAGATGAAAAGAAAAAAAAAAAGAATTTCCATGTTTTTTTTGAAAAAAAAAAGAAAGGTTAAAGAAAAAGGAAAGAAAGAAGAAACAGAACAATGAAGAAAAGGAAAAAGAAAGAAAGAAAAGAAAAAAATTCTTTGAAAAAAAAAAATCTTTGAAAAAAAATTTTTTTTTAAGAGGTTTCAATTTGATTTTATAAATTAAAAATGGAAAGAAAGAATGAAAGGAAAAGAAAGAAAGAAAAAAAAAAAATGAAAATTTCAAAAAAGGTAAAGAATTTAAAAAAAGAATTTTTTTTGAAAGAAAGAAAATGAAGGAAAAGAAAGAAAGAATATAAGGAGATGAATGAAAGAAAGAAAGAATTCAAAGAAAGAAAGAAAAAAGAAAGCAAATTATATAAAAAAGAATGAGAGGAAAAATGTTAAGAAAAAAAGAAAGAAAGAAAGAAAGAAAAAAAGAAGTCAAAAAGAAAGAAAGAAAAATGAAAAAAAATGAAGGTTTGAAAATATCGGGAATGAAAATTATACATTGAAATAAAAAAAAAAGAAAGAAAGAAAGAACAAAAGAATGAATAAATAAAAGAAAGAAAGAAAAAAAAAAAGGGAAAGAAAAAAATGAAAAAGAAAGAAATGAAAGGAATTGAAGAATGTTTTGAATAAAAAAGGAAAAAAAGAAAAAAAGAAAGAAAAAAAGAAAGTAAAGAAATAAAAAGAAAGAAAAGAAAAGAATAAAGAAAGAAGAAAATTAAATTGTTGGGGAGAA